CATGAATGCCACGGGGATCGCGGGTTCAGGAAATGCCTCTCCCTCCGGGCTCCCAGCTCAGGTGAACACTTGCCGACGGCTGCTTCGCTGAGAGCCTGCTCGGCTACTTCAGCTGCTCAGAAGGCCTCCGAGAGCCAAAACTGCTGCTGAATGGAAAACTAAACAGATTTTCTTGGCTTGGTACGACTGGTTCAGGCCAAGATGAGCACACAGAAATGCGTTCTGTAAAACTTAGAGGGATGGGGTTTGTAATATTCCAACCTCTGGTATTTAACTACATTGTTCCTCAAGACATACAAACGTGCAACAGGAGAGCTGGATTACAAGGCAGAGTATGTCTGACTCCATTTGTTACTACGAGTAGTAATGTGCTGGTGTGTTGCCACAACTCGTGAAACTCCAGGTGCTGCTTCTCAAAGTCCTGCCGCTCGCACCGACAGGTTCCTCCTCCCCCTGCGCCCCACCGGGAACACCCTGTGCCCTCCCCAAACCCACAAGGGATGTAAAAACCGCTCAGGATTTAGCCCCCAGCAAACTGGAATCTCGCTCAGAGGTGCAGTTCTTACACAAGAGCAACAGCATTTCTGGGGATTATTTTTTTCACTATGAATTCAGGTACTGACACACAAAAGCAAGTTCTGGACCTTCCAAAAAACCCAAAAAATCCAAGAAACCCCCACAAACCCCCAGAGCTCCAGAGCAGTGTAAAAATACCAGTGATTTATGGGCCTAAGCATTTACATAGTAAATACTTTAGTGAATCCATCGCTGGAAACCTAAAAGCCCCAAAGAGAAACTTTGGGTGAAAGGAAAAAGTGAAGATGCAGCCCAGTGAAATGACGCCTGGGACGCTGGCTGAGAGCTGCCTCCTTGGTGTCGACTCAAGACAGCGACGTCTGCGTTTTCTCAAAACTGCTCTGACCCGGCTGAAGAACTGCCTCGGCCTATCTGCTGCTCATCATCGGGCATCGCTCGTTCTTCAGCAGCTCCATTTCTACAGTTGGCTTCTTTACACAGGTATAAACGTGGTGTAGTGTGGTTCAGTGTCGTTTTGGCACAACCCAACCATCCCACAAACACCGTTTGTTTTAGCGGCGGCCTTCACCGCCTGGCAGGTTTGGGCATGATATAAACTTTGACGGGTTTGCTGAAGGGGATGGTCCCCTCGATGCCGGTTTCGGACTGCGGGATCGCCTCCAAGCTCTCGCTCCAGGTGGATTTAGGAATTTTAGCCGACGCTTTGCTCCTGTTGGAGTTGTAAGCCAGCAGCAACCGCACTTCGATCTGACAGGGCTCTGCAGAGAGAAAAAACAGAACAGCCCCCGTGTGACTGTCACCGCTCAGCGAGACACGGGGCGACGTTTTGCCTCGGGGTCGCTGCGAAGCCGTTCCGGGCTGACCCGCATCCAACCTGCTCTTTGAAAATACAACCTGGTCCTCCCATTCCGCTCCACGGAACAAAGTCCTGCTCTAGATCTCCCCCACAACTGGCTTAAAAATGGCGACTTCCAAAAGGAACTGGTAAAAGCTATTCCAACCAAACGCCAATAAAATCAGGAGAGACCACAGCGCTAGCGTGTTGTGCTGCCTCTATTTTTACGGCAGGGGCAAGGAAATTCAAGTGGTGGCTCGTTAAATGCTACAAATCCAGGTGATGCCTGGTAAATTGCAGCACTGGAGATTACCTGAAGACTCTCTTCTGCTGGAGGTTTCTACGCTGCAAGACAGCCTCCTCCCCTCTGTCACCAGCTCAACCGATATTCCCGATATCATCCCTAAGACAACTTCACTTTGCTCTTCTCCCAGTGGTCGTAATGAAAACAGGCTCTCGGCGCACACACTCCGACCGAGCAGCACGCGGGGCTGCAGCCTCACCAAAATGTTCCTTTCTCGACTGAAAAACACGATTCCTCTGGGTTTTTTGTACACACTTGCAGTGACTTGTGCTGGGATAAAGTTAATTTTCCTTCACAGTGCTCCATGTTGGATTTGTGAGCGAAAACAGGGCTGGTAACAAGGATGTTTTAGCCATTGCTGAATGGCACAATACCCACGAGTCTTCTCACTTCTACCTCCCTCATTCTCCTCCTCAGCCCACGTTACCGATAGGTGATACACGCCCGAGTGCCACCCTCAACATGAACAGTTAAAGTAAGGGCTGGGGGGCGACCAGAGCAGAATTCCTTGGGGCCAGGCCCGTCCAGTGACCTGCAGCAGCAGAAATAAGGACTTGGTGCAGCTCCCTCTGCTACAGGAGGAACCTTTAAATCCAGCTATTTGCAGTCGCAGAAACATTTTTTGTTCTCCAAAACAAAAGAGGCAGCAGGAAAAACAAGTACCCCACGGGAATGCTGCACAAGGAGTACAAGAAACAAATTGCACTAAACAAAACTTGGGTCAAAAAAACCAAATTAACAGGATTTGGTGGTCTCTTTTTTTAACTGCTCAGAAAAAAAGCCCATATTTGAATAAACGTGAAGGGATTTAGAGAGAACGGGACACAGGGAGCCACGACCAAACACTCTGCATTTTTGT